TGCTTGCAGATTTTGTTTCCGCCCCGTCGAAGTGTGTGGCCGACCCACCTCCACTTTCGCTCTCGAATTTCTGTTGCTATCGGCTTCTGATGACATCGACGATGGAGCTCGGCATTCGAGATCCAGTTGTGAGGCCACCAGGCACGAATTATATACCGCAGGCATCGGTTGATGAAGACCTGTAGCTTTTGAGTGTTCTCCGCTGATACATACCACGTCTCGCTGGCGTATAACAACACAGATTTCACGTTCGAGTTGAAAATTCGGATTTTGATGCGTTGACTTATCTGGTTGGATCTCCATACGCTTCGTAAACTCGCAAAGGCAGCCCTAGCCTTCTTGATTCGTGCACCTATGTCGATCATGATCCCGCCGTCCGACGCTATTTTGCTGCCAAGATATTGGAAACTTTCGACCTTCTCCACTGCTTGCCCCGCTACCGTAAAGTTGGAAGGGTTGCCCGTGTTGATATCCAACGATTCGGTCTTGTTGACGTTGATGGTGACATCCGCCGCAGAGGAGCGTTCGGCTAGGTCATTGAGCTTACTCTGCATATCAGAGCGCCGTTGTGCTAGTAGAGCAACATCATCAGCCAAATCGAAGTCGTTGAGATGCTCCATGGTGATAGACTGCCAAAGCAGCCCACGGTTCGGTACACGGTCAATTGCACCTACCATGATCTCGTCGATTACGATGAGAAACAGTAGCGGTGATACTATACATCCTTGTCTCACACCAGCGACTACCCGGATAGGGTCGGACAAGGCTCCGTTATGCAGAACTCTGCACGTGAAAGCCTCATACTGCGCTTCGATGAGGTTGACGATTTTATCCGGGACTCCCTTGCGTCTCAGGGCGCCCCACAGATTCTCGTGATTGAGACGATCGAAAGCTTTTTCGTAGTCAATGAATACCAAATAAAGGGACTCTTGGAATTCATTGACCTGCTCCAGGATGATGCGGAGCGTGACAATATGGTCCATACAAGATCTTCCGGCACGGAATCCTGCCTGCTGCCGTCGGAGAGTCGCGTCCTGTATCCGATTCAGGATAACTTTGCACAGAACTTTGAGAACAATACACAGTAACATGATGCCTCGCCAATTGTCGCACACAGTCAAATCCCCCTTCTTTGGGACCTTCACTAAGATGCCCTGCATCCAGTCGGCCGGAAAAGTCGCGGTGTCCCAGATATTACAGAATAGTTGATGCAACATTTGTGCGGATAGCATGGGGTCAGCTTTGAGCATCTCCGCTGATATGCGATCGACCCCTGGAGCCTTGTTGGATTTCATGCTTCGGATAGCTGCTTCAATCTCCTGCAGTGATGGGGCCTCGGAATTGACGCGAGTGATGCGCCGCACCCTAGGCGGATCATGCCGAGATGTTGATGGCTGGTTGGCCGTCGAAACTTGAAGAAGTTGTTCGAAGTGCTCAAACCAGCGTTTCAGCTGGTCAGTGGGGTCGGTAAGCAATTGTCCAGTCGTGTCCTTCACTGGCATCCTCGGGTTCATCCTTGCTCCACTCAGGCGTCGTGAGATATCGTAGAGGAGGCGTATATCGCCAGTGTTTGCGGCTTTCTCCCCTTCGTCGGCCAGGGAGTTCACCCACGCTCGCTTGTCCCGTCTGCAAGAGCGCTTGACTTCCCTCTCTAGAGCCGAGTACCGTTGACGGGCTTCGTTCTTGGCTCCTCTGGTTCTCGCCCGCTCTATCGCGGCTTTTGCTTCTCTAAGCTCCTCAATCTTCCGCCAGGTTTCATCTGTGATCCACTCTTTCCTCTGGGTGCGCAGCTCACCCAAGTTGTTCTCGCTTGTTTCTATAAAGGCATTCTTGATGGCCGTCCATTGTTCTTCTACGCTGCCACCTTCTGGAACGTCCGCAGCTCGAGTCTCAAGTTCATGAACAAAAGACCTTTTTACCGCTGGATCTTCAAGTCGGCGTGTGTTGAACCGCCGCCCGAGTCTCTCCTTCCGTCGCTGGATCCGCGCCATGCGTAGGCGGATTTCACCGATTAGAAGGTGATGGTTAGACGCGATGTCGGCGCTGCGTTTATTCCGGACATCAAGAAGGCTCCGTCTCCATTTTCGGCTGATGCAGATATGGTCGATCTGATTCTCGGTATGTCCATCACGGGAAACCCACGTGACTTTGTGCACTGGCCGATGGGGGAAGAGCGAGCCCCCGATCACCATGTCGTTATTGCCACAAAATTCTGCAAACAGCTCACCGTTCTCGCTCATTTCGCCGAGACCATGGCGTCCCATGACACGCTCATAGTCCGTGTTGTCGGAGCCGATCTTCACATTGAAGTCGCCAGTGTAGATCTTGATGTCACCCTTTGGAACCTTATCCACGACGGCATTCAGTTGACTGTAAAAATTCTCCTTGTCCTGTAGCTCGGCAGCATGGGTTGGCGCATAACATTGGATTATGGTAAGGTTACGAACCCGTGTTCTAAATCTGGCAACGATTATCCTCTCATTAACAGGCTCCCACTTGATGAACGCAGCACTTGCCTGAACGCTAAGTAGGAGACCAACTTCACGATGGCGGGGAGCGTTTTCACCTCGAATACCAGAGTATAGTAGTACCTGACCCGACGGCAGTTTGTGTTCTCCAATGTTTGGCCAACGAACTTCACTCAGTCCCAGGATTTCTAGCTTCATGCGTCGCGCCTCGTTGGCGAGTTGTGCCAGTTTACCCTGCTGGGCTAACGTCAATACATTCCATGATCCAATTCGTGTCCGTTGTTCTGCGCTAAAAGTCATTGCCGTTAAATCAGTTCGATGTATTTCTCTGTTGGTTTCTGTAACAATTGTAAAGGTTTCAGAGACAGTAGGTGGTTGGCCTAAGGTCTCCTATCCGCCGTGATGGGGCTGCCATCTTAGGTGTAGCTTCCGGGGAAGAGCATTTCTTATTGAGCCACTGGATGTCAGTCAGACGCTGTTTGAGCCGCACCTCCATGGTGAACAGACGCTCGGGTTGGCGAAGCATTTCCTCTATCACCGTGCTATGGTTACCGCGCCAGTGTTCGCGTCGCACCTCCTCACTCTGCTATTGTCGGATTGACAACAGTGGACCAGCTGTGTCCATGTTTCAGCTGGCAGTTTTTTTGTGATCATATGCCTCTTGCAGGCGTGAGGTAGGAACTTGTAAGGATCAGAGCTAGGTATATCGCTCCTTCCAAATTGTCACTCACCATTTTGTAGCCCGATGCTGTATTTGGTAGTAATTAAACTTCATTGCCACAGAGAATATTCCGTTTATTTAATTAATTTCTATTAAGCGAACAAAATGGAGACGCATCCACGTTGAGCCTTCACCAGTCTCGAACTATAATCAAAATTGTTGAAATCTTTTCCAAATTTCTCTGTACTGCTACCGATGATTAAATTTCTCATGAAATCTTCCATGCAATATAAAATGACGGGAATACCGCAGGCAATTATTTGGTCTGCGTTCTTCAACATGATATTAGGTAGGTAGGGTTAATGTCGCTATTGTTGGCCTAAAATTGGGCCCATACATAAATTTCGAAAGAAATCATTTATCTAAGCAAATTTCTAGTGTAATTGTCCAGATGACGCATCATTCTCAATTTGAGCAGGAGATTTGTATCGCTGAGTCCAATATTTAGATCCATAAGTCAACATTAGAGCCACGTCTCCAGATGAGTTCAGAATAGATTGTGCTTCATTCCCACCAAAACCGTGTAATATAAAGCGTCAAGCAGTCAGTGTTAACCTGGTTGGAGAACGATGGGGACGTAAATTTGATAAAATATGAATTTCGCACCCCTCTCCTCGGTTGGCATGATTTCCTATGTGAAAGCTATTAACCAACCAACTGGGAAAAGAAAGAAACTCCTACTCCCGTTCAACCCATAGCTACCGGCACCGGTGGGTGATCCATCTCCGGTAGAGGATTCGCGTTTACGTACGGAGCGAAAATTGATGGTGGGTGGAGGAGCGATTCACATTGTTTCCGTGCAAACTGTAATATGTTACCGGGGATCACAGCGTTTAACCCTCCATTTAACAATCAATTGGCGTTTGCTTCACAGCCTCGTAAAAATCACACTCAGATTCGGTTGCTATCGTTTGCGGTATTTTAATCAAAACCCGAGTTGACTGTCATTGAAGCTGGAGAAATCATTTTCGAGGTATTTTTGCTCGGGTCATCATTCAACTTCTTCTAAGTACTAAACTACCCGGAAGCAGCAGCACACGCAAGCAAACTGGGCAGAAATCCTTCCGTAGATTTGGGATTATCTGCAATGAGCCGGATGTAATTCGATGCATGTTTCCCTTTATGGTTTTTCCGCATTTTGCGCTGCGAGCAAGATTGAAGGAAGGAAATTGAGTTTAGGAAACGTTTTTCTTCTATATGTTTGTACATTATCTACCGCACAATGGATGAAAGAGTTTCAATTTGCGGGAGCAAATGTGGCATGCTGGGATTTTATTCTGCGCCGCGAGTGAGATGAGGTGACTCGCTGTCACTAGTGAGGTGACAAAAGTCACCACAAGTGAGGTGACTCTCCGTGAAATTCAAATGGAGAGTCACTTCACCTCACTCGTGGCTCAGAATAGGCTTCATTATTGTAAGAATATCTCTTTTTTCTTAGTGCATTTTAAGGGCTCTTCATAATCTAATAGGGAAGTATTGTAACAAATTTCACAACGAAAACAAACGGAAAGGGGTGATTTATAGCATGCATGTTCAGTACCCGCTTCTAGTTTAGTAATAACCATTGTATATTCGTTTGTCAGTGAAACAGTAGTTGATGTTTATTTGTAATCTTCAATCTTAATACAAATCTGTAAAAAGCAACAAGCAAAAACAACATTTTTTTCTCTTTCTTCTTCTCTTCTACCCACCCCCCACCCTGCATCCACACCGGACACACACACAATCACCCCTCCAACCCAAAATCACGAAAATCCAAATAAACAAAAATCAAAATTCATCTCACCAATCACAAGATCCATCTGTCGCAGGAACGTTAGCCGACCTGAAGAAGCACCGTTCGCAGAACCGGTCCAGCGTCAGTCCGGACAACGGGTCCCTGCTGAGCGCCCAGAGTTTGGGCAGCCTGACGACCGGCGCCAACGGGCAACCCCTGGAGCTGTCACTGGTCTCTGGAACAGCGGCGACGGCGGCGGCGGATCATCTCCATTCGTATCCGCATGGCAACGGAAACGGAAGTCTCGTGGGAGGAGGTGGCGGCGGTGATAAATCGGGAATTTCCACGCTGAGCAGTGCAACTGGCAACGGGTCCCTGGTGATGGCTGCCGGAGGCGACGGAACGCCCAGTGGGACGCTGAACAAGTTCAGTGGCAATACCAGTGACGTCGTCAGTGATAGCACCCGCTCCCGGCGGTGCTGTGTGGTAATGTAAACAAACAATAGAGGCCGACATGCGAAATGACAGGTAAGCCATTCTGCCAATTCATATCAAAATCAATGCGCAGGCCTATACATTGTGGATGCGGTCAAACGAGAGCAATACAGGAGGGAGTGGAAAGCGGAAGAGTGTTTAGAGGGAAGAGTTTAGATATAGTTTCGTGCCCCCCTCTTAGAGGGAGGGAGGGACACCAGCAGCTGAAAAGCAACTGAAAGTTGTGATATATACGATTTGTGTTTACACATATTCAATTTTTTTTTTTCGTAGGTTAGGTTCGAATCTTTTCGCGTTTCCTTGCTTCCTCCCTGTGGTCCCGTAGTTGCAAATTGTGGATGTAGATATATTTGTATATTTGTTATTGTGTATTCTATTGTACATGAATTGATTTGCCTTCCTCTTTCGCCGTCTTCCCGGAAGGCCGATGGAAACGCGTGAATGATTTTCTGTAAGGAGAGTATTTTAATTTTGTTTCGAGAAACAAAACAACCCATCAAGAAAGTCCGTAGAAACAGAACGCAGTATTCAGAATAGTACTTAACACAGATCCGATATACTCTCGGTATTAGTCTTTATTTCATGGCCTTACTTACTTACTTACTTACTTACTTATACATGTGCAGCTTGTCAAAACTGAAACAAAAATAGCATGCGAATAGCAATAACAACAAACTAAGATGTCAATCGTGGTCACAGTTTAGCTCCAATTTTGTCGTTATAAATAATGATCCCTTTTGGGAAATCCTTGCCTGCTTCAGGAGGTTATGTTTCCGAATGTTAAAGGCTGATAAAAGTATTCGTCTTCACTTCTATAGCCTTCGATGATCAGCTTGTCCAATTATCCCACCTTCCATCACAACTTCCTGAAGGTCAGCTCCAACGCTGCATCTTTCCGAACAACTTGTATGATCCAAAGATTTAACTTCTCTGCTGCAGGCCTATAGCCAAGCTTCCTGAATTCAAGAATAGCTATTTAATTCCACTGCCGGAACTTCCATGCCCCGGACAAAAGAGCTTTACTCGAAACGCGCAAAAACACTGAAAAAAAAGAAACGTCAAGCATAATCAGGCAGCAAGCATCATAGAACAGTAGGCTAGGCGATGGTGTAAATATTATGTTTTGATGTAAAATTCACATTAAATACAACCTACTCAATTACCGCACTTACACTTGAAAACAGAACAAATGCAATGAAAAGTAAAACATCACACGTGGTTCAATTAATCAAACCTTGAAGAAGAAAAAAAAACTATATTTACATAACTGCTCCATCAACAGGCGATGAAAACGATTAGCAAAGCTATATAGAAAACGGTAGAGATTCCGAGCTAACAGTTTCCAAAACAGCACACGTACCGTGATTATCACAAGTAATTAAAGTTTTTTTTTTACTGTGCACTCTTCTCTAGGTTAGTAAGAGAAGTCATGAAAAGAATAGAGAAAAAAAAACACAACAAATCGTTTTCCTACAATGAACCAATGATTTAGTCCATCTACACAACAGTTGTTATGCTTATTGGAAAAATTGAGCTGTTTTTGATTTGAACCCACAGCAACAGCAAAAGATTATTATTATGGTTATTATTATAGTTATTGTATTACCCACGAGTCGACAAGTCCTTTTCTTTTTATTTTTTTTAATTTTCTTTGCAATTTCTCACGACAATTTTTAGTCAAACACAAAATAGAACACACAAACACACCCACAGATACCCAACAGTAAAACAAGCGATCAGATCAAAGCAGAATCGTTATCAGAGGAAATGTCCGAAAGATGAGAGAATATATTTCATTCGATTTATTGAAAAATTTAGAATTTCAGCCTGCAATTTAGTTGTGCTAAGACAGTCCGAACCTCCCGGGAACCTTTCGAATGTCCGCTATATGAGCGCTCATACAAGGCCAAAAAACGTTGTCCCTGGGCAAAGTTCAACGATGACTCGATATCATTATGACTAACATGCACTTTCAAGGTGTCGATTCAATGAAGTTAACCAAATTCCCGGATTTTCCAGTAGATTATCCAAAAAATTCCAAGTATAGTTTTTGGCAACACTCGTCGACTAATGCTTTCTTCAGATATGCACATGAACCTCTAACAAAAGACAAAAATCACGTGCTGCCAAAAACGGAAAGGCAGCGCATTGTTTTCTAAATTCACAAATGATAAACGTAGTAAGCACCAGGTAATAATTTCAAGCAGTAACCGGGATGTTACTATGATTGACAGCGATGTGCGAAGAAAACTGCAACCATCTCAATTTTGAAAAATGCGAGGGGGGTGACACAGCTACATTATCGTCTTTTCACCATGCATCTCACATATCTTTTATTTATTTATTTACCGTACTCTATCTGTTTCCATCTGTGTCATCTACTTTTATTTACACGGCGAATGAGAACGACCCAAATTTGAGTTTAGTTCACTCATAATCACCAAAAGTGCAGGAACTCAGCGATGAGTAAAATTTGTCTCATGGTTTCCTGTGGAAATCCTAAAAAATCTGCCGGAAAATGAGGAATTGTTGACAGACGAGTGGTCCAGACACAGGACTCGTAATCGGTTTATTTCATTTTTTTTTGACTTTAAATGATCTATATTTCTTGAATTTGTGTGGTTTACATGTATAACACTTCTTTTGATATTTCAATTATTATTAATTAATGTTCCTAGTCCTATCAGGCCTGTTTTAGAGAATGACCACCTTGGTGGGATTGGTTTGTTTTAAAATTTGAAAAAGAAGACTACTTATAACTACTATTTACAACTATAACTAACCTACAACTACTATATACACCTAATCTACTATATACAAATTGCTTATCAAAGCATGTTCTGATAAATTACATTTTTGTGCAAATTTAGTCTTAATTTCGTTAATTATGGAATCTATTTTGGCAATGCCTGCCTCTTCGTGTAAATTTGTTACTCTAGTGTCGAAAGGACGATCAAGTACCATCCTCAGCACTCTATTCTGAGCGACCTGGATTTTGTTTCTGTGAGTCTGTGCACATGATTCCCACACCGGAGCTGCGTAGAGGATCGCAGGTGCTATGATTTGTTTGTAGACAGCCAGTTTGTTCACCCTTGAGAGGCGGGATCTGCGGCAAATCAGCGGATACAGACACCTAACCAAGGCAGAACACTTGATTACAGTTTTCTCTACATGCGAACGGAAGAGGAGCTTTTCATCGAACAACATCCCGAGATAGGTTACTTCGGCAGACCACTCAACCTTTGTGCCATCCATGATTACAGTACAAGATGGAGCCGGTTTTAGTTTGGGGGTCTACCTGTGGAGGAACATGATTGGTTGATTTTGATTTTCCACGTGGTGGCATAATGAGCATGACGCCTTCAAGGCATCGTTGGAGCTTGTTTGTTATTTCGCGAGGCATCCTTCCTTCATCTAAAACACGCAACCGTCTCCGAGGGGAGGAATGTCGGAAGTGTATATGCTGTAAAGCAAGGGGCCCAGCAGACTGCCTTGCGGGACTCCTGCTGGGATGGAAAACGTGTCGGAAAGACAACCATTCAACGATACCTTAAACGACCTTTGCTGAAGGTAGTTACGGGTGATTTTAACCAGATGTAATGGGAAGTTGAAGTTACAAAACTTGTACACTAGTCCATCATGCCAAACATTGTCAAACGCCTTTTCAACGTCTAACAAGGCCATGGCTGTGGACTTGGATACAGCTTTGTTACTTCGGATGTTATTCATCACCCGTACTAGCTGGTGATTGGTGGAATGCCCCTTTCTGAACCTAAACTGTTCCGGAAGGAGAATGTTATTTTCCTCGACAAACTTGAGCAAACGATTGAGAATGAGTTTCTCGAACAATTTGCTCAGCGCTGAAAGGAGGCTGATTGGTCTGTAGCTTGAAGCTAGCGTTGGGTCCTTCCCGGGTTTGCGGATAGGTATGATTTTCGCTGTCTTCCAGATACTTGGAAAGTAGTGCAGTTCCAAGCATCTGTTGAAGACAGCAGCCAGCAGAGAGTGAACCTTCATGCTGAGATTTTTCAACACTAAGTTGAATATTCCGTCAAATCCGGGGGCCTTCATGTTTTTGGTGCATTTCAGCGCTGAGCAAATCTGTTCTACTGTGATTCTATCCTCCAGAGGGATGGCACAAGGGGAGGAATCAAGGTTGAGTACACATTGCTCAACCTGAACTTCGAGCGGACTTTGGATGTTGGAGCCAAGCAAGTGCGATTTGGCAATATGCGCACCAATCGCATTTGCTTTCTCCTGAGGGGTGATTATGAGCCGATCGTCATCATTTTCATCTTTTAGTGGCGGAATGGGTTTAGGGTGCGTCTTTAAGACCTTGGCAACTTTCCAGAATGGTCTGGAGCGGTCGTCCAGATTCTGGACAAGCCGCCCGAAACTTTCGTTCCGGAGTGAGACCATTCTGGAAGCAATCTCCTTGTTCAGATCGGCCATTTCACATTTCATCGCTTGATCTCCAGTCCTCTGAAACTGGCGTCTACGAACATTTCTCAGGCGAATTAAGAGTTGGGTGTGGGAATCAATAGCAATAAACTTACCCCTCACAGGAACTCGTCGGACGCACGCCTCGTCAGCCACGGTTATGGCTTGGTGGAGTCCCTCCAACGCTCGGTCTATGTCCTCCACGGTGTCAAGCGGCGGGTTGTCGATGATGTACCTGTCTACCACGCGTCCAAACTGGGCCCAGTTTACGCGATGATAGTCCTTGCGCAGGCTTGAAGCAGGAGCCACGTTGCAGCCCAGCTCAGACACCACCGGTTGGTGGTCGGAACTGAGTTCGTTCAAGGCTACCGGCTTGGACAAGCCGATATTTGTCAGGAACAGGTCTAGCGTCGATGGGTTGCCCGCCGGTGAGATAAATGTTGGCTCATCCGAAAACCAAACGGAGTACAGTCCATGCTGTGAGTGGTCGAACAGCAGACGACCGTTCTGGTTCTGCCTGTAGTTAAGCCAGGCCTCATGGCGAGCGTTTAGATCTCCTCCTACTACGAAGCGGGAACCGTTACGGGTGATGGTGGAAAGGTCCTTCTTGAATTTAGCCGCTAGTCCACTGCTGGCGGCACACTCTCGAGGGCAGTAGACGGCGATGAACTGGACGTATCCAGTCGACGACTCCACCTCCACACCAAGGGCCTCGATGATAGTGGTGCGGATATGGGACAGAGTGTGGTATTTTATTCCTTTCTTGGCGACGACCGCTACACCACCCCCCCTGGAGCTGGTGCGATCAAGCTGGATAATGTTGTGGTCAGGCAACCAGAAGCTGTCACCGGACTTTAGGTGGATTTCGGTTAGAAGACCCACATCGATGCTATGCTTGCGGAGGAAGTCGGCAAGCTCAATCTGTTTTGCCCTTACAGAGCAAGCGTTCCAGGCTCAATCTGTTTTGCCCTTACAGAGCAAGCGTTCCAGGCAACGATGGTTTCGGCTGCCACGTCGAGTACGCCTGCAAGAGAGCGTCTATGGCTGTGGGGGCATTATCCCGTATGATGTCAAACAGCTCGGCAGTGAATGCCAGTAAGCGTAGGCTCCTCGCTGGGGTCGTAGTATCTATCCTCAGATACGGCGGCCCTGCGTGGGCTGCGGTACTGGATATTGACTGCCACAGGCAGAAATTAGAGAGTACACACAGGCTAATGTGCTTAAGGGTGGCCAGTGCATACCGCACTATCTCGAGAGAGGCCGTCTGTGTCATAGCAGGGATGATGCCAATCAGCCTTATCATTAAGGAGGATGTGGCGTGCTATAACGCGAGGACCGTTCGAGGGGTGCGCAACAACGCGCGAGTTGTGTCGACCACGAGATGGCAATTGGAGTGGGAAAACTCCACAAAGGGGAGGTGGACTTACCGTTTGATACCTTCCGTATCAAGCTGGGTCAACAGGCGCCATGGGGAAGTAAACTTCCACCTGACACAGTTCCTGTCAGGCCATGGCTGCTTTAGGAGCTACCTGCATAGGTTCGGACATGCAAGTACTCCCACCTGCCCCACATGTGCTGGTGTCGAAGAGACCGCCGAACACGTCGTGTTTGCCTGTCCACGTTTCGAGCCAGTATCGAGCGCTATGCTAGCGATATGCGGAGCGGATACCAGTCCGGACAACATCGTTCATAGGATGTGTGGTACCACCGAGAACTGGAGCGCGGTGGTGACTGCGGTCACCCACATAGTTTCGGTATTACAACGACAGTGGCGAGCCGAGCAGCAGTTACCTACTGCCCGACCAGATCGTTAGAGTATTGCTAGAGAGGCGCCATAGCGCTACAGCGGCCCCTCCCACGAAGTAATGCCTTCGGGCGGTTCCGGGGAGGCCAAGGGCCAAGCGCACAGGGTAAGGTTTAGTGGGTCGGGAGTGAAATTCTCCCATCCCCACACCCTGAGTTCCTTCTCAGGTGTCTGTGAGCAGATTCCCCCCTGTATAAAAAAAAAGGCAACGATGGTTAGCGGTTTAGACACCATATTGGATAATGAACTTACCGAGCACTTGGATCTGTTCGGGCTTATTGCGGCACTTACGTAGAGCATCGGTCATGTTGATGAAAATCTCCATCAATTCATCCGCTGAGAACAGATCGGGATTATTTGGTTGAGCTGTTGGTTGTCTCCAGAATCCAGGGGGGGATGGAGAGCTTTGTCCAGCGGAAGATCCAGACGTTTCTTGAGGGGGGGCGGATCGCACCCTTGGATTCGCTTGTCCATGAAGAGGCGGAAAGTCCTCCGCCCTGAAAGCCGGAGCCTTATCCTTCCTTCGTGCTGGTTGCTTGTTGGTGGATGCCTGATTTCGGATGCGCTTGAAATCCTCGCGTTTAGGGCACTGCTTGTTGGATCCTTGGTGAGCACCACCACAGTTGGCACATTTTAACGCCACCGCTCCATCCGCAGGGCAATCGAAAGTGGCGTGGTCTTGAGCGCAATTTCCGCAGCGTGGCTTAATGTTGCAGTTGCGGGTACCGTGTCCGTAGTTCAGACACCGCTGGCACTGAGTCACATCGCGATGGCCGCCCCGGTATGGCTCCCAGCGAACGATGATGGAATTGATGGACCGGATGGCTTTCAGTGCGTTGAGTGTCATCGTTCCCTTCTGGAAGTGTACCAGGAAAAGGCTATCCGGATACGCCTTCACATTCTCGTCTCTTCTTGTCATTCGAAACACGGCACTTGGGGCCAGCTTGTACCGGTCCCTGATTTCATGTTCGATAAACTTCGGGTCGAAATTTGGTAGGCCCCTGATGACGACCTTGAACGGTTTTTCACCGGGGATGTCGTGGGTGAAGAATTCCACCTTGGAAGTCCTCAGGTGGGCGATGACCAAGTCATACTCCGCTTTGGTACGGAGCACCACCTTGGTGCCGACTCTGCCCAATTTGAATTCGGCTTTGACGCCCAGCGACGCCAGATCCGCGATGAGCTCGTTGAGATGGGCATATTTCACTACCAGCGGAGGTAGCTTCACTCTTGCCGCGCTCATGTCGGCAGCATTTTCTTTATCGGCAGCGTCACCGAAATCTCCGTTCGTCGCAGAGGCGTCGTCTCGACCAATCGTGCCATCGGACTGGCCTCGATTCTTCTTTCTCTTCTTGCTGCGTTTTTCCAACACAGCTGGCTGGATATTCCCATCCATGGGGAGAACAGCAAACCTGTTCGAGGTAGGCACACCGGAGCTTCCTTCACCGGGGTTCTGGACCTTCGCCGGGCTTCGTGACCGATGCTTCCCCATTACGGGGCACACACACACGCACGACAAACTGCGAAAGAGAGAGCGTGAACACTATCGCCACGAACTTTTCACACAACTCGAGAGAGCGAGCTAACACCGAACTGAACTGCTTGACGATCAAGCAGAGAATGCCTCGGTTTATTTCACTCATCGAGGGTATACTTATACCTGCGTCGAGTAGCATATTATTAATACAGGGAGGGTACAATACATACAGTGGGAAGCAAAACACTGAAAAGGGGAGGAGTTTCGCTTCGTATGCTACGGGCACAAAACGAGACACCATCGTCGAAACGACTATCAGTTAAGCGAACAGCTAAATTATGGCACCGAAAACCAGTGGAAAGGCTGCCAAGAAGTCCGGAAAGGCGCAAAAAGTCATCGTCAAGGGAGAGAAGAAGAAGAGGAGACAGCGCAGGAAAGAAAGCTATGCCATCTACATCTACAAGGTGTTGAAGCAAGTCCACTCGGACACCGGGGTCTCGTCGAAGGCCATGAGCATCATGAACAGCTTCGTCAATGACATCTTCGAACGTATTGCTGCTGAGTCGTCCCGTCTGGCTCAATACAACAAACGCTCGACGATCACCTCCCGCGAAATCCAAACTGCTGTCCGTCTGCTGCTGCTGGGTGAGTTGGCCAAGCACGCTGTCTCTGAAAGAACCAAGGCCGTCACCAAGTACACTAGCTCCAAGTAAATTCGTACCATCCAAACAATCAATCGGCCCTTTTCAGGGCCACAAATCGATTTCCAACGTGAAAGAGGTTTTGATGATTTATTGAACTTTTAAATGTTCGGAAGCAGCGTTAGCAAAGTTCGCGATAAGAAATCAGTTGATTTGCCTTATTAAAATAATGTTGACAAAAAGAATAAGAGGTTGCATCCATGACACGACCGTACGGTTTTGACGTAGGACGTCTGTGATTTCTATATGGGGGTACACATTGTGAAAACCGAACATGGAACATGAATTAATTGTGACACGCTTGGCATGGATGGCGAACAGACCGACCAGATAGGCCTCGCTGAATTCCTGTAGGGACATTAACGGCCGAGTTCTGGAAGCGCAGATCGGTCTTGAAGTCCTAGGCGATTTCAAGGACCAGACGCTTGAAAGGCAACTTGCAGTCAGCAGCTCGGTCGATTTCTGGTAACGACAGATCTCACGCAGAGCGACAGTTCCTGGCCGGTAGCGATGAGACTTCTTCACTCCTTCATCTGTTCGAGAGGAGCCTTTCCTCCGGTGGACTTACCAGCTTGATGCGGCCATCATACGATGTGGATACGTTGAACACAATTTGTTGAATAAAAATTTTAATTATCCAGCACAATCATGGGCATTGGGTCCAAGCAATATTTCATCAGATTCAAGACAAATCTGTACTACAGTAAATAGAACAGAAAATGAAAATATAAAAATGAGGTAAGGAAAATAATTAAAATATGGTTCAGATTAATACCTGGCTCAATAAAGATACACATTACCATTTATTTTATAAGACCACGTAGTCCTACGTCACCATTGCGTACAACCCCATAGGGCTGTCCCTTGTAGTTTTTTCAGTCCCATTCACTAGCGACCTCAATAAACGTTATTGAAAAGTCTTCTAATTTCTTTGGCTATGCCGATTCATCAATAGAATTATTGTTTGTTTACGTTTGGAAAATGGATGAATGGAGAATAATTAACATGTTTAATGTTTTTTCTCTCTCTTTATTTTCTTTTTGATTTATTTTCTTTCATATATAGTTTCCATTTACAGTTGTAGCTGTTGATTAACTCACTTAAAGACAATAAAAAACTCGTTACATCGAAATCACATTGAAGTTCATTTTATTCATAACCTGGTTAGGTCCCTTTTCTGGAAGGAAGATGCTGCCAGGTAAATAGCCACACTGGTGAGCAAAAAGCTTTTTTACAAGGATAATCATAAAGTGATTGATCGCATCACATAGTTCACGTATTACTGGTTTGTTGCAAGACATATTCTCGAGATGATCTCTTCGAAGTCCTTGTTTTATAATGCCAAATAAGACCTCTATAGGATTAACAAAAGGGCAATACGCTGGCAGAAATATCGGAATTATACCAATTGATTGCATGTAACGTATTATATTTGGTTCGCAGTGTATTCTCGCACTAGTTGATTGTGACTAGCTAAAAGCGAATTTGACTGGTTTTCTCGCTGGTTTTATATATCAGATACTTGCCTTTCAACCTTTTCTTGTATCTAACAAGTACAAAATATCATTATAACATCTAATGATTCCAAAATACCTCGAATATTTTTTTTATAGCAAGCGAGTGGAAGCAAGCCTGTTAGCATCTTGAACTGCTACCGATAACGGTAGCACTGAGAAGGACAAATCATATGTATTCGAGCAAGTAACTCTAATTAAATATTAAAGATAAATGCCCAACATTCACCGGTAACTTAATCAACTGCATACTGCGCACTCATATTTGAAATACAGTTTTAAGGAGAAATCTTTATCACTGTTTTGCTATCTAACTAAAAATCGACTTCTATCTTCTGCATCTTTTGTAGCATTGAAAAAGAAGATGCAGCGAATGGTAGAGCTTGACATCTGACAAAAATACAAGGATCCAAAAATTAGAGGTTCATCTTGTTTGCCATCTATTTACATGCCATTTTAGATGTGTCGCCCCCCTCGAAAAAAGGCTTGCTTATGTCGTTTTCGTTTTTGCGGTAGCTACACCGGTGCTACACTCCCGAGCAAAGTCCAGCATCAAAATGACAGCAAATTTAAATCAAGTTTTGATATCAACATCAAACTGAAATCATAATTTGATTTCAGTTTACACATTGACAAATTTGATACCAAATTTTGTTTTCATTTTGCTGTACATTTGCTCTTTAAAAATATGTTGTTACGGGTTTGTTTTCATTGCCTTAGCATAACATCATATTGAATACTTGTTTTGTTATCAACAGGAAAAATGGATAGCAAATTTGGTTTTCAGTTTGCTCTCACTGATAGCAGAAATAGTTTTCAATGTGATGTCACAGGAAGATAAGTTTGCTCTCAATTTTGATATTTTAACGTTAAAACGACCAAAACGACAACAACCTGCATTATCAGCGAAATCACAACATCAAATTTAGATTTCAATTTGATCTCAGACTTTGCTCGGGCTGCCGTACACCGAAATAACAGCAAGAAGAAGATCGAGAAGGACGGTGAGAAGGGCGTTCCGTCGGTGAAGCTGTTGATTCGTGATAAGAACGACAAAGACAAGGTAAATTTAGAAAAGCTGCTGGAGGCGATTTGAACAGAAAGGGTGAAAAACTACTCTACAAAATCGAGCAAAGTGCATCCTGTGAATGTTCCTGATCAACCAGCAGGAGCAGCATGCATTCCAAAGAATTATATTGATTTAACTGTCCACCGTGGAATCGCTATCCTATAGAAAAGTGTCTGGACCGATGCGGAATATCCACAGAGCAGTCATGGTTATGATCCAGATCCCACACAAGGACACGAAACGTCGTCAAATTGAACTCCGGATAGTGGCCACAAACGGAGAATGTTACTGAAAACGATTTTTGTCTCGTGTGGATCCGGATGGGACTCTTCAGGTTTGTTATTATTGTGCTGTTCCACGTGATCTCCCAAATCGTCCTCATTCATGAAGTCTTTGAAACAGCCGGTACAGATGTTGAACTTCTGATCTGCACAGTAAATCTGGACGTGTTTGGTCAGTCCTGTTGAATAATGAAACTACGTTCGATAGACATTGCAGACAAGTGGATTAGTTCTTATGTGGGTTGTTGGATTATTCTTCTCGTTGAAAAGCTTTAGTAAAATTGTGTAAGCAAAGCACGTTCGTTCGAGTGGATCCTAACGTAAATCTAAAGCCGATTGGCTTAAGTATTTTTCACACATGTATGACTTCTGTCCCGAATGAACAAGCATGTCCTGAAAATGGTTTCATACACCAGGAGTACATCTGCAACGAAATGACCTTTAAGAATATCCACCGAATCAACATAAAAAGACAATACCTGTACGGCTTTTCAGAGCTTTGTGGTGCACTGTTAGCTTTGCAGCTGTCTAGAATTTCTGGTATAAAATGCAATCAACCACTAACCAGTTTTCCGTCTCCCTCCTGCCGATGGTTCCGGATCCTTTACCGTTACCGTCAGCTAATCCCACCTGATACAGCGTTCGATTGTGTAATTCATTTTGAGAATGTCAATGAATATACCTGTAGAAAATGGGCTAGGTGTTATGGAATAGACGTCAAAAGAATTCTATTTTTATCTCACCTTGTCTCACCTCAGTCTCACGTAGTTTTCAGCGCTAATGTCCCTCAAGTGGACATAACGGTTTAACGATCCGTTCTTCTCATTTGCCCCGTACTTGTTCCAAGTACATACAAAACATTTATTTGTACAACATCACATTTAAGATAAAACATAATCAACAATAGTACGCCACAATACTCGGTTTGTGGCTGCCGCTCTCCATCCTCGGTCATGCCCAATGCTCGCTAGATCACGCTCTACCTGGTCCGCCCATCGTGCTCTCTGCGCTCCACGGCTTCTTGTGCCCACCGGATCAGTAGCGAACACCAACTTTGCAGGGTTGTTGTCCGGCATTCTTGCAACATGCCCTGCCCACCGCATCCTTCCGGCTTTGTCACCTTATGGATGCTGGGTTCGCCGTAGAGTGCAGCGAGTTCGTGGTTCATTCTTCGCCGCCACTCACCGTTCTCCTGCACACCGTCGAAGATCGTCCTTAGCACACGTCGCTCGAAAACTTCGAGTGCTTGCAGGTCCTCCTCAAGCATAGTCCATGTTTTGTGCCCATAGAGGACCACCGGTCTTATTAGCGTTCTGTACATCTGGTGCGGGGGTGAATCTTTTTTGACCGTTGTTTCTTCTGGAGCCTGTAGTAGGCACGACTTCCACTGATGATGCGCCTTCGTATTTCACGACTCACATTGTTGTCAGCAAGGTAAACGAATTCCTCCACTACCTCGTAAGTATCCCCGTCTATCGTGACATTACTTCCTAGACGAATCCTGTCATGTTCGGTTCCGCCTACTAGCATGTACTTTTTTTTTGACGCACTCACCAAAAGTCCGACCTTTGCTGCTTGGTGTTTCAGGCGGGTGTATAGTTCTGCCACCGTTCCAAATGTTCTTGCAATAATGCCCATGTCGTCCGCAAAGCACACAAATTGACCGGATTTCGTGAATATCGTACCCCGGCTGTTGAGCCCGGCTCGTCGCATTACTCCTTCTAGAGCGATGTTGAAGAGTAGGCATGAGAGTCCGTCACCTTGTCGCAGTCCCCGGCGAGATTCGAATGAACTGGATAGTTCACCCGAAACCCTTACGCAGTTTTGTACACCGTCCATCGTTGCTTTGATCAGTCTGATCAGCTTCCCAGGAAAGCCGTTCTCGTCCATGATCTGCGCGGTCGATACTGTCGTATGCCGCCTTAAAGTCGATGAACAAATGATGCGTTGGGACCTGGTATTCACGGCATTTTTGGAGGATTTGCCGTACGGTGAAGATCTGGTCCGTTGTCGGTCGGTCGTCGATGAAGCCGGCTTGATAACTTCCCACGAACTCGGTCATTTTAGGTGATAGACGACGGAAGATGATCTGGGATATTTCGGAGATGAACCAGCCTGCGGCTGAAAATCTCCTAAATAGAGAAAATTAATTAATTAATTAATGATCTGGGATAGCACTCTGTAGGCGGCATTCAAAATGGTGATCGCTCTGAAGTTCTCACATTCCAAATGGTCGCCTTTCTTCACTGAGAAAATTATGCATATAACGTTTATGTGCCACACACATAGATTTTTGCAATGTGATTGCACAAATGAAATTTATGTGTGAGGCACATAAATTGCATCCAATCGACATTCAATGGATTCTATGTGTGATCACAAATGGGCATTATGGGTAGTGATGAATAGATTTCATTTGTCTGTTGATACTTTTTATTGTTTATTATTTTGAAATTGTTGGATTTAATTTTTAACCAGAATGATATAATACTCTAAATTCAAAGCTTCTCCATATATTTCATGTTGATCGGAACAGCCAATAAATTAATACATACACCGAATTGAAAACATTATCGTTCTTCATGATTTGAGCTCTGGATGCTTTCGTGTTCGGGTATTGAAAAATCGCTTCATTATGTGCCGAGTTCCAGTTGATAGCTAGTTCAGCATTTTCAGTAATCTTCCGTTTCAGCCTCTGCACTTTTTCTACTGATCGCACAGTGCTTATGGTGTTGCGACCGAGGTTGCGACAAATCAAATATTCGGCTTGTCAATTCCCATTGGTCAGTTCACGAAGATTTGCCGCACTCTTCTCTCACCCGTAAGTTTTGACAGTTTTGGGTGGTTTGTTTTGACTCCCATTCGTTGCTATCTCTTTTACTCAGAAGCAAAATGATAGGGAGCAAAAAGTGAGGTTAGGGACCGTGCACTGATCTATTCCAAGTGCACCGCTCCTCACCGATCCAATTCTGGTGGGTTTTTCTGCAGTGCGTCGGATCCATGTTTTAACCGGGCAGTTCTTCCATCTCTCGCTGCAGCAGCCAGTTTAGATCGAGGAGCAGATTTCATCGGGTTCTTAAAATATTACAGTTAAATATACGTTTCAACATTTTCCTCATATTTACCTTATAATTATGCAATTGTTCTTCCGGAATCTCAAAATACTTAACATTCACAAACTTGTTTTTGGTCTTCATTTTGAAATTTCATTCTCTATCGAGTGTATATTAGTTTTATGTGTGCTCACACATAGTTTTTTGCTATGTACCATTAAACATGCTGTTCATTTGGGGCACGCATAGTTGGCATAAGTAAGACACATGACGTTCATGTGTCGATTTTAAAATTTATGTGTGGGTCGTTTTATGCAAATTATGTGTGAAATCATATAAATAAAATCTTTGCTGTTTTATCAGTGTAGATTGGCGAGTATTCGGGTGCTCCCGATGAAATTGAGAGATCGACAGTTCCACGTGCCGAGATTCCAATCGCAAGTCCTATTTCGTCGCTGGGGTCGTTGCCGTTGGTCTCGGTTCGTATTCCTCTGTTGCTGATTTTCCGTTGCAATGCAATGCAATGTTCCAAGTAATGATCTCATCAGTAGCTTGAGGTACAATAAGCAGAAGAAGTAGACTGTGGTGCTACCGGACGAATGGATTCAGATTCATCAACGGCATAATGCACTGCGAGTATACTGATGATCCAACGTGAAGGCGGAGACCTGAATTATCCCTTTAACATTTTTTTCAAGAGTAATTTCATCACTTTTTTCACACACAAAGCGACAATAAACCAATATTCACTTATGTAACTACGGCTTATAATAACTTCCAGCAAGATGTCCATCTCCAACTTATTAAATTGGATCATTAAATGGAACGAGAAATTTTTTTTTTTTTTTTTTTTTTTTTTCATTATAGTCACTTTAACACTCTTGGGTCATTCGTGACTTGTCCGGGGGTGAGATTTGAACTCGTGACTTTGGCGTGAGAGGTATGGATGTTAACCACTTCGCCGGGGTCGCCCCCCTGGAACGAGAAAAAAATTTAGAAATTTTGCAAACATGTAATATTACACCATATTTTCGACATGATTGTAGTGCATCCACTTTGATGTGATATCAAAATTATTTTTTTGCTGTGTATACATTTGAAATGAATTTAAAGCAAATCAATATATAAAGATTGTTCAAGCATATAATGATTAAATTTTCATCATTCTTTGTTTAGTAATATTTTTGAGTGAACAACTTCAATGGCAGCTGTCCAGCAGTGCTCCCATTTTATTTAATGAACAATCCGATGCCTGCGAGATTGTGCCGATGAATGTGCCCAAGCTGTGCCGAATCTACTTTCGGCACACTGTGCTGAGTGACTTACCCCTTGGATGCATCTTTGTTTAAGCCTAGTATACAGATCAAAGCGAAATGAAATTTGAAGAACGCGAAAAATCATAAAATTTCGCTAGCGAAAAAGGTTGTAAAAAAATGTTTGTGGATCATTTTCCAGTTTCCTTTTTTTCTCAGTTTACAGTTCATGTGAAACGGAATCAATCAGTTTACACCTCCGGTGCCGCGGCGGGACTTGACAATCAGCTTCACACTCTTCTTAATGTTTTTGATGAATGCCCGTCGAAAATTAGTATATGGTGTTTGACGGAGTTGACCAATGATGCCAGGATTGCAGAATGATTTTTCCATTTTAACTCGCATTTTAATTTGAATTTGATTCGGAGTTTCTACCGCAGTTTAGCACCTTGTACATCAGTTTTGCTTAACACAATAAAATCAACCATAAACAAACAACAATATTCATCACTTTCCTTTCGCAAATATAAAACATTAACAACGCCATTGACATCCACATTGATTCCGGCATCACTGCCAGTCAGATTGATGTGATCCCTCTATCCTTTTTATTCCACGATTGCTACTGTCAAATCGACCAATCAGCCACTGGCTCGGATTTAACAGCAAATTGGCTCGAAATTGCTTCCCGATTGTCAAGTCCCGTCCCTTGCCCGCTGCGCGCCTCTTCTTCTTGTTCCTGTTGGGTCGCTTTCTAGAACCATTTTCACTGGGCCGTCGTGCGGCATTCTTACGACGTGCCCAGCCCATCGTAGTTGCCCAATTTTTGCAATGTGGACGTGGCCGTTGAGGACCACCGGTCTAATCAGCGTCTTGTAGACAGTCAACTTCGTGCGGCGGCGAATTTTATTCGACCGGAGCGTCCTCCGGAGTCCAAAGTAGGCACGATTCCCTGCCATAATGCGTCTTTGAATTTCTCTGGTCACTGTACACCTCAATTGAGGGGGTTAGAAGGAAAGGGGTGTAAGTGACTTTGATCGATTCTCTTCATCGACTTTCTCTTTTGATAGTTACAGCTTTATATACAGATTTTGCGCTATTTCTGCCACATAATTTGATAAAGGAGGTTTTCATCTAGCATACAGAACGGCACACAAATCAAGGAATGTGTTTGCAGCTGAATTATTAACGAAAGAGAAAGTCGATGAAGAGAATCGATCAAAGTCACTTACACCCCTTTCCTTCCAACCCCCTTAATTATAAATAACTAGCTGAGTGTGCCCAACCTTGCTCGGGATTCAATATTAGCTTAAGTTTATACGCCAATTAAAAAAAGCATGCATTACTGTACGTAGCCCCCCCCCCCCCTCTTATCTAACGAAGCAACATTGCTAGTTTTATCGAGGTATTAAAGCATTCCACAAGTCTAAATCATTGTCTATAGAACCCTCATAAAACCAGAAATGTTACTTGGGCGGGCTACCCCCTATGACTTCCACATGCCAAATTTGGTTCCATTTGGTTAGTTCTCGAGTTATGCAGAAATTTCTGTTTCATTTGTATGGGAGCCCCCCATACACAGAAGGGAGGGGTCTCGAACCATCATAGGAATCTTTCCTGGCCCCAAAAACCCCAGCATACAACGTTTCACGCCGATCGGTTCAGTAGTTTCCGAGTCTATAAGGGTCAGACAGATAGACAGAAATTAATTTTTATATATATAGATTATTATTAATGCCGAGTTTTCTCATGCTTGAAACTTATTCAACAGAACGAGAAGCCTCCTTCTCCGATTTTGAGAGGTTGAATATTAATTTTCACGAGCTAAAATAATCTTTTCATAATATTAGGTCAAATTCCTAATTCCTAGGTCTTGAAATCACACCACCACATCACCAAAACTTCGAAGATCATCAATCTCTAGAAAGCAAAAGAGTCCTAGGTATCCCCTGGCCTGGACAAGAGCAATCTAACGTGAATCTTTTAATAAATGAAAACTTAATTTTGCCGTTCCATGGAAAACAATTCGACGCAACTCATAATCTGATGCCAAATGCACATTTTTCCCTTAATATTTAAACAAATAATTCGTTGGTTTTTTCCAGAACTTCTTATGATGAAAAATACGAGACTACTTTGTTCATTTTCGAATAAATATGAGCAACTCAAATTTACTCGCAGCAAATATATCTACTCGGAGTACAGCTGTCTTGCCCTTTGGTTCAAACCTAAATTTAAATCCAGGTTTTTTTTCAGGAATTTTTAAGACTCAAGAACGAAGTAGGCTGTGCCGACTGCCGGCGAACAGTTGTGTTTAATTTAGCATTCAAGAGTTTTCTTTGTAATTCTCCGTTCTGAAGTGCTTTTAATGAAGAACAATCCCCCGTTCAGTTTTCGAGAAGTGCATTTGGATCTGAAAAGTTAGTTTCTGTAGAACGGTCTACTAGTGAACTGCAATCGAGTGGTATATTCCGCGTACCAGCCAGCAGTGGCAAATAAGACATTGCGAACAATTTCGCCATGAGAACCCTCTCATATCGGGCAGCAGCCGACCAATGGAAACATAGATGCCAACCGGAGAATGGCAGAAGAATCCAACAACTAGGTACCTACTAGCAAGTCTTTTCCATGTTCTACTCGTTTAATGGCGGTACCGGAAATGGAAAGCATTGGTGAGACCGTTCTACATTGTTATTAGTATTTATTACCAGCAAACAATTTATACTTTTACCTACTTAGTACGTGCCAGTTGGCCTCAGAATGTAGGCATTCTTGAAATGAGTAATTGGATTCTCAGTAAATCTATCACCTTCAATTTTCAGGGCTAAAAATGATTGCATCTATCGATAAGAACAGTTTTATCAACAAATATGTGCAGGCAGGTATCTTCCATCAAAGCACTGCATGCCAAGGGGAGGTGGATTGCATCCACACACTCACATCAACATATATATGGCCAAGTTAAATCAATTGCTGCCACCACCTGAGAGCAACCCATAGATTGCGAACGGCCGGCTTAATGCACTTCTCTGTGGAAGGTGGATGATTTTAGTTGGTGAAAAACCCTTTTAGCTGGTTTAAACCGATTTTCGGTTGAAGAGAAAGATCGTCCTGTATTCGAACCCTTTTTCTTGGTCGAACTTTGATTAGCAACTTCCAGACAGACTATTGACTTGATTGTAATGCTTGCCAACATACATCGTCTCCAACCGGAATTCACGCTCAGACTAACTTTATCCTGCAAATACCAATCTCGCTCAGAAGATTCCTACAAACAAATGGATTTCCTTTTCATCTCATCCAGTAAATACCACCGAGGAGCTACATTCATTTTTACGTTCTGAGCTTTATTTTTGCTTTGTCATACTGATAAAATGTCGCATCTATCAACTATGTAATATTCGAGTTGTTTGCATCCAATAGTAAAATGTTCTTTAGTGCTTATAAAATCTAATATTACGTATCTTGTCTAAATTGACCGCAGTCCTAATCCTAACATTCTGTACAAGCATTCAATGGCACACCGTCTTCCTCCTAATCGCCCAGTACCTCCTCGTCATCGCTGGTCGTGGCCTTCATCCCCGGCTTTGGCATCAACTTTGGCATCGGATGACCCCGAAGGGATCCCCTCTCGCCGAAGCACGTCTTGTTTTTCATGTGGATCAAATAATTCTGCCGGTACCGGAATCCCTTCTGGCACCAATCGCAGCGGTAATCCGTCTCGGCACTGTGCGTCTTGAGATGTGACTTCAAATGATCCGACCGTTTGAAAGTCTTCTTACACTGGCGGCACTGGTAGGGTCGTTCGCCGGGAATCTTGGCCAGCGGTGGCGCTCGCTTCCGGATTGTGCCGTTCTTCGTCATATACTGCGAAGCATCATCGTCGTCGTACTCATCCTCACTGCCGTAGAAAATGTGCGGGATATCCGAAAGGCGTGGTTGTTTCGGTTCCGATTCCGTTCCGTTCGAAATGTCGTCATTGGAACCGTCGTACTGACCGATGAATTCTTCCGGCGAAATTTCCTCGCCCATGTCTTCGTCGTCGTCGGACAGGGCAATCACATCGTCGTCTTGGTCTTCTGAATCTTTGCTAACGCTTCCGTCCGGATGGCTTATCAGTGTTTCCAGCTGCTGTTGGGCTCTCTGTTGTTCGTGGATTCCTCGCATTATTTCCGAACGGTCGATTTCGATCTGCAGGTGGGACGTTCTGTGTCGCCGCAGGTGCTGGCTCCGCTTGAAGCATTTTTTGCAAACTTCACACTGATGCGGTCGCTCCGCGGTGGGGTCGTAGTGGTCCTCTCGTGGAGCCGGTGGCGGAGGAACCGGTTCCATAACGCGCTGAACGGGTGCTTTGGAAAAGATAAATCTCCGCCGGGCATTCATTTCCCAATTTTTGGGCAGCTTTACACTGTCGATTACGACGGCGTGGGCTTGGGCCACGTGCCGTCGGCAGTGCGGTCGCCGGAGGAATCGTTTCCGACAAACCTTGCACTGATGGGGACGTTCACCGCCCACCACATGCAGCAGGGAGTTGAGCTTGGCACCGAATTCCTTGGACCATTTCGGAACTCGGATGCCGTTCCGGCGGTTCATCTGCTGGACCAACGTTTCCTGGTCCTGCTGGTCGTCCTGTTCGTCTTCGTCATCGTAGGGGTCATAGAATTGATCGTCCTGTTGTTCCATCATGTCTTCCGGGGAGATTTCCTCCCCGATCAGGTAGCTTCCGTTTTCATCCTCCGCCGGAGGGAGCTCGGTCATCTCTTCGAAGAATTCCTGCTGTCGCTGTTGTTGAATCTTTTGCTTTTGCTGCTGTTGTTGTTGCTGTTGCTGTTGCTGTTGCTGCAGTTGTTGTTGACGTTCGTTTTGTAGCTGCTGTTGCTTTAGGAAGGCTTCTGCCATGGCTTCTTCTGGACTGAAGATGTGCCGATAGGAGGCCTTCAAGTATTCGTCTGTGCCGACGCATTGCTCCCGGAAGGTTTGCCAGTCCTCAAGTCGGGCACTGCATAATTCGCAGATTGTCGTCGGAGCGCCTTGGAAGTGTTCGATCTAAAAATGCGGAAAAAGGGAGTTTGTTAGTATTTGGAAGTTGATGGTTTTGCTAGGGTAGTCTGATTGTATATCAATGTTATAGTTATACGTTTATAGTATGATACAACTTAATAAAGCACGGCAGGAAAAACTCAAATTGAAGCAAATTAATTGAGGATTTTCACGAGGGGTGAAACACCTAAGTCTCAACCTCTAAAATACTTGAAAAATACAATTTTCTTCAACTTCAAGCCCCATAATCTGGATCAGATTTCTTACATTAGGATCTTAAAATTTGTTCGCAATCGAAATCGAAGAATCTTAACAAAAAAAATCTGGAAATCCTACACAGCTAAAAAAAAGTAGTGTAAATTTCCGTTACTATGATGCACATAAATGGAGCGTCATAAATCATACAAATTTACATTATAAATCGTGTAAATTTATGAGACATGTTATGCAATATTCCATATATTGTATGCAACTTTCCACCTTTGTTTGCAACATTTCTTGCAAGCTGCTAGTTTACGTGAAAAAGAAATTTACATGCATGAATGTTTGCATGCATGGATGTTTACATCACCAGTAAAATTCAGATTTTTTTAGTGTGTAGATCTGTCCCGTGCTTGAAGCATGTCTGAATGAACTTATTTCAGATTGTCGTTGAAAATTCTCAACGATTTCCTAAGGATCATTCCAAAATGTCTTAAGAGCTATTTTCAGGACTCCCCTTAGTAGTCTTATCAATCTCTCCGGTATTCCCTAGAATATTTGATATCCTGCATAACTGTCTTGGAATTTCCTCTAGAAAACTCTTGAAATTCACTCTGCATTTATCTTTGAATTCGCAATTCTAACGAGAGATTGCTGCTGTAGATTCGATGAAAGTTATCTGTAATTTAAATGTTATTAACCTCCAAAAATACTGTACTACTGTACCGGTACGTGTAGACTATATGATTTATTGGTCTGATTCGAGCGGACTGCTCGATAATTTTGTCGGATGCAATGTTTGAATGCGTTCACACTTTTTCGACATGATGATTAGATTTGACGTTTGATTTGTCGAACGTAATTGGTTTGTGTTTAATTTTCATTCGACCCTTTCAGCAAAATAGCCGCCAGTAAAATGAAAATATTGATATTTTTTTCTAAAATTTCACGAATTTGATTTGTGTTTTGATGGCATCCAGCAGCATGGTAACCCGATTTCACTATTCAATATGTATGATTTGACTGATTTTTACTTTCCAATGTGATTGGCTGTCAACAAAACAGTGTTTATATCATATGAAGTATGTATGTGTTTGTTAGAACTTCAGAGAGGTTAGAAGATCTACTGAGACATTTTTTGAGCTTAAGGGTAGTTTTTAGATCTTGAGAACAGAACTACAAAACTTCAGAAAATTTTACAGAAATTAAAAGAAATTTGCAGAAATCCAGAAAAATTCACAAGAGAGAAAGTAGATCTTCAGAATATCAGTGCTAACATTTGAAAACGGCACAAAAGCCATTTGTAAACAAATGGTTTGTGGGCCCTTTACTCACTACTTGAAGTACACCCACGCGACACAACAGCAACATCGGGTAGGGGAAATTTTCCCCTTCCTGACGATGCTGTTGGTTTGCGTGGGCGTTCTTCGGGTAGCGAGTAAAGGACCCACAAACCATTTGTTTACAAATGGCTTTTGCGCCGTTTTCAAATGTTAGCACTGATATGTTTTAAAAATTCAAGCAAGCTAAAATATTTTCAGATCAATTTGTAAAACTATAAGAGAAATTTTGCAAATATTCAGGGAACTACGCAGACCTTCAAAAAAGTCCAACAATCTACAGTGAAATGTAAATAATTTCACAGAAGTTTCGATAAATTATTGAACATCAGAAAAGTTCGTAGATCATCTGAACATAGCTACAGATCTTTGAAAAAATCACAAGAATGGTCATAGATCTTCAGATAAATTTAAAGACGTTCAAGAAAGAGTGCAGATTTTCTGATACATTTTTAAAATGTCAGAAGTTTTAATGGATCTTCAGTGAAATTTGCAGAACCGTTAATTCGGCGATTTAAAAAAAAATATTAAAACGATTTCAGGGAAATTTGTGGATCTTGAAAGAAACATTTATAACTTCTAGGAAGCTCAACTATTTTCAGATAAATTTTGAGAACTTTAGGTAATTTAGAAGATCTGCAGGTGCATTTTCAGATATTTAGGGTAGCCCGTGAGCCTACAGAGGAATTTGCAAAACTTCAGACAACTTTTCAGATCTACTGAGAAATGTATTGAACCTCAAGGTAATTCGTAGATCTTGAGAATAAAACTACGGAGCTTCAGACAACTTTACAGAACTTTAAAGGTATTTGCAGAACTTCAGGAGAGTAGGTATTAGGAGAAATTTGTAGAACTGCAAGGAATTTTGCAGATCTTTAAGGACATTCAGTGGTTCAGAAAGCTTCACAGTTTCAGACAAATGTAAGATCGTAAAATTTCAGAAAAGTACTTCAATTCCAAAAACAAATCTCAGCGAGGTACGAAAGTTCAAGATTTTGCAGAAATCCACGGAAGTTGGAAAAAGATAGATCTGAGAAACTTCAGAGAAGTCTGTAGACATTAAGATAAGTATGTGTAGTAAAACTTCAGGAAGTTCGTACATTTTTAGAAAAAAAATTGCAAAACTTCAGCAAAACTCACAGAACTTCGGGAAAGTTCGCCGATCTTTAGAAGTATTTACACAACTTCGAAGAAATTCAAATATTTTCAGATAATTTGTAGAGCTTTAAGGAATTTAAAAGAATTTCAGATACATCTGCAGAACTTTATGGATTTCCAAGAATCTACAAAGAAATTTACAGAACTTTAAAGAAGATATATTGAAAAATCTGCAGAATTTTATTGATTTTCTTGGATTTTAAGAGAAATTTATAGTACTTCAGGGCAGTTCGCTGATCTTTATAGATATTTGCATAACTTCAGAAAAATTAGTAGATCTTTAGAGAACTTCCTTAAATTTCCGGGAAGCTCAAAAATTCTAGATAATTTTTTTATAGTTAAGGAAATTGTGTAGATGCTTAGAAAATTTTGCAGATATTCATTGAATCATGAAAATCTTCAGAGAAAATTATAGAACTTTCGAGAAGTTCGTAGATTACTAGAAATTCAGTGGTGAACATCAGAGATAATTGTTGATATTTAAGGATCTTAAATCTGCATGGATTCAGTAACTTTGTAATTTTTTAGAGAACTTCTAAAGAACACACATGACTTCTAAGAAATCTACAGAACTACCAAGAAATTTGCAGAAAGTTTGTTCATCTTCAAAGAAATTTTTTTAAACTTCAGGGACGTCCGAAGGTCTTCAGGAAAATATGCAGAATTAAGATCTTAACAGTAATTTTCAGAACTCAAGGAATCATGTAGATCTATAGAGAACTTTTCTCACTAGCTTGTTGAAAGTTGATATTGCATCCTGGCGAAGTTTTAGAATCCTTTTTCGTCTTAATATCGCAGTTCTTGAAGGACAAGATGAGCCAGACCCTTGCCGGTGTTCCTCCTGAGCAGTCATTTCCCACTACACAAAGTTTGCCTTCTCCCCTTCTCCTTCTTATTTTATTTAAAATAATAAAAGCAAATGCACCTGCCGAAGCTAGAGCAATTTTCCGGTAATTCATGATGGAAGCACTTACTTTTGATTCCTGATACAATTTTGTTTTGAAATCTAAATTGACAGTTCTTTCGACATGTGACAGAAGAGCTATGGAGTGTTTATATATATATAAAATTGGCGAATCAAAGCAACGCCAAAACTGGTCATGCGACATCTAGTTTTAAGATCTGCGATCACAAAAATGATGATGTACTAAAAAAAACTACAAGGGACAACCCTAAGGGGTTGTACGCAATGGTGACGTAGAACTACGTGGTCTTATATAATAAATCTTATTTGTTAACTGCAGCAGCGGCTTGTGTTTTGTGTAGGAATAGGCATTCGAGCGAGGTTCTCTCTGTTTATACTCTTTAGTATGACGCGCTTGGCATAGTTGGCCCACAGCAACTCACGAAGAGCTACTGATTCCGATCAATAGCGGTGCGGCTTCTTCTTCTTTCTTTGGATGCTCATGTAGGCTGCAACTCGTTGCTTTCAGACAGCCCTTCGTTGTATACTGGAGAACACCTACCACTCACCACGCTGTGATTGAATGAACACCGTTTGGTGAGATCGGATGGAATTCAACTTTGAAATCTGTGTTAGGTAAATCACTTTTCAGCAACAGTTGCACATTCGTGCAATTTTCAATAGTGACATTTTGAAAAAAATGATAACGTCTTAAATTTGACAGATGCGTAGACATATATCTGATCGAATGGTGATAAAATTATTGAAATTGGTCCAGGGGAAGTTGAGTTATTTGCGTTCAAAATCTTTCATAATTTTGTTACATGTTCTATTTTTGGTTTTCACAAAGTTTACCCCCATATAGAAATCACAGACGTAGTCCTACGTCAAAATGTCATGTAATTTGACAGATATCAAAACGTTACCATTTTCACCCACTCGCCATCTGTGAGTGAATCGTCACTTTGATTCATCAACTACAGATAATTTTCATCGAATCTACAGCATTTTTGCAACTGCGCAACAATTGAGCACTGTTGAACCAACCGGTGGGAAATAATGATTTTAAATTGGCTAACACTGGACTACAGTGAACGAAAACATCCGCAATACACTGGAGTCGCTTTTTACGCGGTTTTTTTTTACACGGTTTTTTTTTACGCGGTTTTTTTTTACACGGTTTTTTTTTACGCGGTTTTTTTTACGCGGATTTCGGAATTTACGCGGTTTTTTTTACGCGGATTCCGGAATTTACGCGGTTTTTTTTACGCGGATTTTGGTTTTTTTTTACGCGGATTTCAGAATTTACGCGGTACATCGCTTTTTACGCGTTTTTTTTCTTACACGGTCTTTTTTTACTCGGTTTTTTTTACGCGGATTTTGGAATTTACGCGGTTTTTTTT